GCAGCGCCAGTGCCACGCTCCTGATCTTCACGTCCAGCTCGCGCATCGAGTCCACTGAAGAGATTGATCGGCTGAGCGCCCTGCTCCTCATCGCCCTGCGCTTGCTTACCATGCTCTTGTGCCGGGAGCCAGCGGAGCTGTCCTCCTCGACATTCTCGGTCTCGTCCGTGAGGTCCTTCATCAACTCCCAGAGATCGATCACCTCGGCCTCGGGGACGCTGGGCAGCGCCGCCGGTTTAGAGAGGTCGAGTGGAGCCGGCGGAGAAGCCTCGATCCTCCCCTCTAAATCCTTGGCGCCCGCTGCCAAGGGAGCTGCCATGGCTGCTTCTTCTTCCTTCTCCCCATTCTCGATGCTGGCGTATCCAATTCCATCCTCGTCAACATCGGGGATCTTGAGCGCGCCATAGGTGCTCGACGTGAGCGCGACCGAGTGGAACCGGAGGGGCTGGGGAAGAGACTTTTGCTGCTGACGAAGGGGCATCGACAGGCTGCGCACAAAGCTCCGGGAAATCGGTGGATTCCATCCATCCCTCCGCGCCTGCATTTCCAAGCTCTTGGACGACGAGCAGCCCATGGCCGATCACTGCGAAGCTGTGATTTCCTGTCTAGGATCAACCCCGCTGCTGTGAAATTCGGCCCCGGACCCTACCGCGCGCATGCATTGATCGATCGCTGCTCGGATTTGGGGCGGATTTCCCCAGCTGCGCGGAGCGGCCGAAGCATTGCGGGCTGTTTTGTCCCAAGATCAAGAAAAACCCGGCCCTAGCAGCGATCCAAGACGGAGTAACTCCGCGAAATCCAGAGGCCAGAGGCGAGAAAGATTGGAAGAGGGAACAAACCAGCTCCAAAATATTTGGGGGATTTCCCTCTCGCGCGATGCCGGCGATGGAAGATCAAACCATCAATGAAGAGCGAGTGAAGAGATCGTTTATCCGCCCCGGTCCTCCTCCCGCATCGTTGTGCGCATTGAATTCCTTTCCTCTCCACGACGAAACGAGCGAAACCAAAACGAGCAAATACGCTACAAATGAATCTCTCCTCTTATAACTGGAGCCCCCAGAATGAATGAGCCACCCCTTTCAAACCAGTCCCCTCGCCATGCAAGCCCATGGCTATAGCTTCCCATTCCCCAACGCATGGGACAGTGGCGGGAGTGGAAAGCTTTAGCCTGGGAGCTCAAAAGCCCTGGACAAACTTAGCGTAGCTACCTCTGGCGAGACCTCGGACAAATGCCACAGCTCTATACTTGCCAAAGTTCCTTTGGTAAAGTCTCGGGATTCTAGTCCTGTTGCGCTAAATGTAGCGGTCCGCTATCTCTCTCGTTGGTCACATACGACGGCGCAGCAGCGTGTATCCTCGCGTGAAGGGTTGAATGGTTGAATATACCGGGTCATACGCCTTGGACTTTCTTGGATTCTAGTGATCGGCGGTTCGATTCCTGGGAAGCTCACAACGCGTAACAGAGTGTTTTAAGCTTGTGTGTAAAGTGCGAGCTTCTGGCTGGCACTAGTGAAGTACAACTGGATTCGAATGGGTGAATATCCCATTTCCAGATTCCAGTACTTTGCCTTGTTTGTTGGATCACGCATCACAGCTTTCGGGACCATGGTTTGATTTTTTCGTCCGTTGGAAAGATAGAAATTCTTGTCTAGCTCCGTGGGGTGTGTTTGTTTTCAATCATGAAGGATTCCTTGGAGCACTTAAAAACTTGTCAAAGTTCTTTGAGCCTTGGATTCCAGAATTTTCTTATCAAAGGCTTAGCTCGAGGAGGTCTGTAGCAGCAATCCAGATATCCAAATCCAACAGTAAAAGCTCACACAGATCTACGCAAGCCTTGCCGGTAAAAAGCGAGACCATGAAAGCGATAGAACGACCACCAGATTTTCAGATTTTCTGCGTGTCGGAGAGAACCAACCATCCTTGCGTAAACTCATCTGATTAAACTTATAAACACCCTTTAGTGTACAAACAGCCCAAAACCAAGAACAAAAAACACAGAGCAAGACGACTACAAAGAATCCCATCACACATACCTCCCTCCCTAAACAATTTTGTTCACACCCTTCACTCGTGAATTATCATGTTTAGCCTGCGCAGCCACACCGAATGAAGTATCATGTTGAAAACATCGTACCTCTCAGGAGGCTGGTTGAACCGAAAATGCCTCCTGACTTTGGAAGCTCTCGCCTGCATTTCAAGATACCTGGCCGTGGGAATCGCCTGGAGGATCGTCTTGAGCCGCGGTATGTCCCTCTCCAGCACCTTGACGGAGAAGGCGTCCCAGTCCAAGACATCGCTGAACGGAAGAACGAAGTCGTCCGCTATCACCACCGGAACACAGTCGTTGTAAATGGCCTCGACAATGCGAGGACTGTTCACCTCGTAGCCCCCCGGACACAGGCAGTACTTGCTGTGGCTCATGTAGTCGAGGTATGCGTCTCGAGATGGCAGCTTCTCAAAAACCCGGACGTCCTCGTCCTTCTCCTTCCAGTACTTGAAGAGAACTGGCCTGACGGGGCCGTGGTCGCCACCAGCGAAAAATGCCAAGTACCTGCGCTCCTCCGGCGGTGGCCCCCCAAGCACGCTTGGAACTTGGCCGCCGACGAGGTGGATTTCCGGAAGGCTTGCGTCCTTGCTCGGCACGTAGCCTTCGGACGTGTTTGCGTTGCACAGCACACGGATCGAGTTCGCCATCAAGTCCGGATGTGCTCTGGAGATATGAGGTCCCTGAAAGAAGATAAGAGAAAGAGACCGTGAAAAGAACAAGAAACACGTATCTTTGGACGATGAAAGCTTACCCAGTCGTGGCAGGAAACCATAAAATGATCGGCACCCCTGCTTCGATTCCAGGAAGAGTATCTGTGGCTTATCACGTCGATGTAGTCCCTTGTAAAACGCCCCAGTGGTCCCATGTCGTGCGATCCGGGCGTGTAAAGATAAGTCACCATCATGGCCACGCTGAAGGGGAGAAAAAACAAGTGCGCCTTCTCAGGATCGGAGGTCAGGTAGCTGTTCTTCCCTTGAAGCTCTTGAATGAATCGCCCTTCGATGGCATAGATCTCCTTACACGGCCCGTTGTGCACCAGGGGTTCTTCTCCTTCCGGGTACGCAAACACCTTCAGACGTTTCTCCATTTCTCTATAGCTTCTGCAAAATCCAGAGTTTGAAACCGAGCACAAAATTGCATTTTTTTTTCTGTTTTGTTCTCACTGTTGGAAAATCGTAGCGTTGAGGTATACATCAGGCGAAAGATCGTCCTTTTCTTGAAGTCCGTGGATCACTGCGTTTCTTATTGCGGCTCGAGCATGGCTCATGCCGGCTTCAAGCTTTTGCAAACTAGTAAGCTCCGCATCTGGTTTCTACAAATCACAATACAGCACTTAACAATTCAACTTCAAAACGAAAAGCAAAAGCATACCTTTGGAGCTTCTCGTCGCACCGGAGAGTAGCTAGCCGGCGCTGGTCGAGAGTTTTTAGTCTCAGGAAGAACTTTGTTCTCTTCTTCAACGTCAGGTGGTGATGGCTCTTTCGCTAAAGTTCTCTGCCATTCCTTGGTCGCCGCGGCAATGGCCGCCTCTGCCTCCTCGGGGCTTACAATCCTCGCGTGGTGCCTGGAATCATTGACGCCCGTGAGCGAGCTAGCGAACTTAGAGTAAGCCCAGGGAACTGATAAAAGTCTCCATGTGTACGAATCGAGGACGACGAAGACGGAGACGAGGAGCAGCGCAATCACAATGGCGGAGCGAACGTTGCAGAAGGCACTGCTCGTCAGTGCTCTCATTGCTATGTATCAGCCTTTGGCTTGGAACTTTGTATCCATCAAAGATTAATTTACCTGACAAAAGCGAGATAGATTCGTTACTGGAAAAAATCTAAGATGATCAACACAGATACATGGATTTCGCAACAAAAACCAGATAGATTCGTTACTTCTGAAGCATTCTCTAGCGCTGAATCTAACTCGGGGAAGGTAGAGAGAAAATGCAAAGCAGGAAGAGATTTTGGTCATCGAAATATCTTGAGATTCGCTCGAAATCAGTCACGACACAGCATTTGGACGATCGATCGAATGAGAGAACTTACACGAGGATCCAGCAGATCTGAGATCGACGCCTAGAATGCTGGGCGCCACCTCCTCGCCTTCCTCCTCCTCCTCAATGCTCCTGCCATGGGACGCAAAACAATAATCCCGTGAGACCTAGGTAATGAGCTCTCTCGCTCTCGTGGATGTCTATCTTGGCAATAACACGAGTCACCCAGGGGTCGAACCCGCGACCACTGCTTTGATTTGCACAGCAAGCTATGGATCTCAGTTAACTCCAACGCAAGCAAAAGAGCTCAAACTTTCAAACTCAAAATGTCAAAGACTCGAATGATACAAAATTCTCCCCGTGATTTGGTGCTTCCCCTCTCAATTTTTTTTTCTCTCTCTCTCTCTCTTTCTTTCTTCTTGAAGATGATCGATCGGGACGAATGGATGAATCAACGCTGCATCTTGCGCAGTATGAGAACGCTTGCCTCCATGAACCTCTGGGCGCAATTGGTGAGACAATTGGTTTCGCTGGAACTAAACTTCCCGGATGGAGTTCCAGTGATGCATTTCTCCCAGCACACATCGGTGAGCTTCCCCACGAGCTCGTTCACCATCGCCTTCTGCTTCTCTTGCTGGGAAAGAAGAAAAAAAATTTCATAGAATCAAAACTCAAGGACTAAAGAAACCAGTGTGTGCCAAGCAATGGAACAGGCAGAGAAAAGATTAAGAGAAAAGAAATCTTTGGAGTCGCAGCTAAGCAAGGCTCTCGACCAAATGAAAAACTATCAAAACCCTTGCGCGAAGATCAATCGATGCCACGAAAAAATGCAATGCGCTGCGCGATACGTACCTCGAGGAAGTTTTGGAGCTCGGGAGACATCGAGTGCTCCTCCATCGCTAGGCGCAAGGCGAATCGACGAAGGAGAGGAACCAAATACCCTAAAACCCTATAAACCCTAATGTCCCCAGGAATATTATTTCATTCCTCGAGAGGCCATGTCGCTCCTGCTTGGAGGCGCCAAGCTCATCACAATCGATTTCTCCAGGCCCTCCATCCAGGTTTCCGACAGCGCCAGGAGAAATGCCCCTGCGGCAACGATCTGCAGTGCTGAATCCGCCTCCGCAAGGCGCTCCGGTTTGCCGATGGCGATGGCGAAGCTCGCCATGGTTCCTCTCTCGGTGCTCGCAGTGAGCGCTTCTTGCCCGGATTTAGGTGCGTTTTCTTACAATTCTTCGCATTCTCCTAAGGATCTTGCTTGCTCATCGCGAAATAATTGCAGCACAAGCTGGAATCCTCTCTGGATATCGCGGCTGGGACTTCCAGCTCCCCCAAATTTCGGTCCCAGATTCGCTCAAAGAGAATTCAGGTCTTACATTTTGCTCTTATCTCCCCCTTGATTCTTGTTTCTCTTTCTCTTGTTTTCTCCCTTCCATCGCCAGAGAAACAGAGAAAGAAGTACGAAGAATTCGACTCAAACATGAAGAATTCCCCGCTGATCAAGGAGCTGCTCAAGCGATCGAAGGACAACGCTGCCAAGTAAGTCCTCTTCTTAGTTCATACGTCTTTGCGAACTTCGGAAAACCTTTCCAGGCGCAAGCAAGAGATTGAAGACAAGTACTGCGAGCGCCAAGCCGAGTGGGGAGTGGGCGACTGCTCGCTCGAGTATTCCACTCCAGAGGAGAAGGAAAAGTTCCTGGAGCTCATGAAGAAGAGGCGGGCCGAGACCGAGAAACTGGGCGACGCGGTGGCGCAAGAAAACAAAGAGGAGGAATCAACCCAACCAACAGCAGGCACTCCTCTCGCTCAAGAAAACCAAGAAGGAACAACGCAACCAACGACGAACGCGTCGGTCGCGCAACAAGAGAACGACGAGGGAACAATGCAAACAACAATGGACTAAGCGAGAAAGATCTCATGAAATTCCAAGTCAAAACAAGCCCTAAACAGTCACAACTGTCAAGTTAGGGCTCTGGATTGGGCTGCCACGTGGAATTAAACCTATCCCACATGCCGGAGCGTGGAATGAGGCCACTAAAACAGTATATAACCTAGGGCCTGGGGAAGAGTCCCATACTTACCTGGACGGGGTCTATTGGTGATCATGAAGGCCAATGGCCTAGGTTTGGCTTTCCCATTGCACTTCGGCTTGGCCAGCCTACCATCTTCCCAAAGTGGAGGAGTGGACGTCGTAATTTGTGGAAGTTGAGGGCTCGCGTACGCGCGGCCCTCTCCAAATATTAAAGCACTAAGTTGATTGAATTAAAACTATAGTTACGTTCGTGTAACTATTTCGTATAGAAAACAAATATATTATCAGATAAGTTCGTGACATAGTAACAAATACCTTAGTAGCGAGCGCTTTGCATCCTCGTTACTGCTACCACGGCTGGGAATCCAGCCTGCTGGAGCAAGGGATCGACGTCTTTCACACCGACGTGATTGAAAGCCAAAGGGGCTCCATCGCCAGCTCCTTGGATCCGGACATTGGGACCTTGTCCACACATCCCCATACACTTACACGAAGTTGCCGAAGACAGTGAAGGCGAGGAAGAAGAAGAGATCTTTGCTTGGAACGCGGCTAAAACTTGCTGAGAGCCGGCCTTTCGACACTTCCCACCCGTGCAAACCTCCACTCTCGCACAAACCGGCGGCGCTAGAACGCATTTCCCCCCATTCACTTGTTCCAGAGCGGCTTCGCTGGCCACAGCATCGATGATGGATCTTGGAGAGGCCGCTGCTCGCAGCTCCTCCCGGAGCAAGCTCATGTCGAATCGGCTGCTACCGCACTCGCCACCTGACGAATCCGAAGACTCCGAGCTCGAAGACGACGATTCCTTCTTCCTCTTCTTCATCGCCGGCCCCGCCGCCATCGCTGACTGCTTCTTCTCCTTTTCCTTCTTGCATTTGAGCTCTTTCTTCTTAGCCTTGGCCTTGAGCTGGAGCTCCTCGAGCTGCCGGATCACCTCCTGGACGGACTCGTCGTCCACTGTTGCCATCTCAAACTTACCGGCGGAGCCGCGCGGGCTGGAGGTCGCCGAGCGCCGCTGCTTCCTCGGCCGCGCGTAGAACACGACATGGCTTTGATCCGCGAACCGTGCGTTGCGGCAAGCTGCGAGGCACGATCTTCCGCGCCCTAGCAACGATTGGCGCCCCACTGCTGCTGGGTGCGACCCATTCCCGCGGCCGAGAGACAGAAACCCTGCAATCCTGTGCACTGCTGTCGAATCCATCGCTCTCTCCTTGCCCCAGGAACCCTAAAATGGGGTACGGCAAAACGAAGAAACCACGTGTCAGCAATTCAAGGAATATGCTTGGAGCTGTAAAAACCCTTCTATGACGCAAGCCCTAGGGAGCTTCCCGGGTAGTTGCTAAGATTTCAAACATGGCGCATCGTGGCCGCCCAATGCAGGATATCGACGGTCCCATTCGCGCCAGCGGGGTGTCGTCCTCCTCTCGGGAGGCCAGGAATGACCATGGTTCCATTGTGGCAGCGCTCGCCCATTTTCTAGGGTTACACAGAATGTGATGGTGGCGGGAGAGACTTTCTGGTGTTTTGGAGCAAGGGGAATCGATCCAGGAGGTATGGTTATGGCGGTTCCTCCTCTGAGCTACAAGAAAAGATGGACGAGAGCCATCTCTGGCGATGGATGCGCTTGAGGAGAAGCTGTGGCGGCGATTTAGCTTGTTTTTGCAATGGAAATAGTCGCAAACAAGTACAAGCTTGGTCGGAAGCTTGGCAGTGGCTCGTTTGGGGAGATTTATTTGGGTAAGTGGCTCAGCTTGCGTGGATGAAGCTTCGAAACTTTTTTCTTTCTTTCTTTTTTTTCTTCTCCAAGGAACGCATGTACAAACTCATGAAGAAGTGGGTGTCAAATTGGTAAGCTTTTTGCTGTTCAAGGTCTCCGGGAGGAGTGCTCATTGTAAGTTCTCTTGCTCTTCAGGAAAATGCAAAAACAAGGAATCCACAGCTTCAATACGAATCCAAAATTTACAAGAGTCTCCAAGGAGGAAGTACGTGATAATCAGAAGCCATCGTTCTTTAAAAGTCACCTTAAAGGAGTCGGATCTTTTTTCTGTCAGCTGGCATTCCCAGTTTGAGATGGTATGGGGTTGAGGGTGACTACAATGTGCTGGTGCTTGATTTTCTTGGCCCTAGCTTGGAAGATCTTTTCAACTTCTGCAACCGGAGGTTTTCGCTCAAGACGGTTCTAATGCTAGCGGACCAAATGGTAACGAGGCCGCATTTTTGTGTTTTCATCTTTGCTAAGGCTTTCTACTTTTGTGTAGATCTCGAGGCTGGAGTTCGTCCATTCCAAAAGCTTTCTTCACCGTGACGTGAAGCCTGATAACTTTTTAATGGGCCGAGGCAAGCGAGCAAACCAGGTGAGGCCTTGAGTTTTTCGCTTTAAGCAAGTTTTGGTGACTTCCCACGCTGCTTGCAGGTTTTCATCATCGATTTTGGGCTCGCCAAGAAGTATCGGGATCCAAACACTCACCAACATATCTCATACAGGTTAGCAAGTACGTTTTTCTCCCGTTTTCATTCATCTAGCTCGATGTTTGTTGATCGATACATGGTGGTGACGATATAGGGAGGACAAAAGCTTGACAGGGACTGCAAGATATGCCAGTATCAACACTCATATTGGCATTGGTACGTTCAGTTCCTCAGCACAGCTTTGTAACTCGGGTTCTTCCTCAGAGCAAAGCCGGAGGGATGACCTTGAGTCTCTTGGTTACGTTCTACTCTACTTCTTGAGGGGAAGGTGATCATAGCCTCTTACGCAGTTTCTGGAACTTATGCATTTGTTTGTGCGCTATAACAGTCTTCCTTGGCAAGGCCTGAAAGCAGGAAACAAGAAGCAGAAGTACGATAGGATCAGCTCAAAGAAGATCTCAACTCCCATTGAGGTTTGTCATTTGGTGCACGAGTTCACATGAATGACAAAAAACCATAGTTTGCAGGTTTTGTGCAAGTCATGTCCAACGGAATTTATAACGTTTCTACACTATTGCCGGGCTCTTCGCTTCGAGGAAAAGCCAGACTACAATTACCTGAAGCGCCTGTTTCATGATCTCTTCATCCGAGAGGGTATCTAAGCTCTCTGTGCTCATAAATTCTGATTACAAGGCAATCTTTGATACTAGGATATCAATACGATTGTATGTTCGACTGGACCATTTTGAAGAGGCAGCTCGCCACTGCACAGCAGCAATCTCCAGTAAGTTTACCAGTAAGCATGCATTGATCTTTCATCTTGCTCCTTTTCTCGTAAACTTAAATCCCTCCATTCCAGGCAACTGCCTTGGTGAACAAAGCTGAGAAGCCAGCAGGTAATTCTTCCTTTTTCTACAAAAACTGGATTTTGCTGACTAAACAAAGCTAGCAGCCGGAGCCGGCCAACAAGACGCTGCAAAGTCCCGGAACTTAACCTCTCCGGAGCCGCCAAAGAGGCGAATTCACGACTTGTGCACCAAAGACAGCGTAAGTGATTACCATTGTCATTGTCATTTTTTTTTTCTAAATACATCGTTTCTCAGGCTGATGCAACCGGCGAGCTGTCCAAGCAATCGCTCACGACATCTTCCAAGCAGAGGCTTTTGGCGTCGCCATTTAGCAAGGCCCAAGTTTACAAGCCGGGAGGGGTTCAAAACCCACTCCAAACAAGCAAGCTACAACTCAAGCTTCCCACGACCTCGGAGATGAAGAGACCATCCTCGAATCGCCACGCATCCACGATACGGAGCTATGAGGCCACCCTCAAAGGGATCGAAAGCCTGTCCTTTGAGGCACAGAAGAAAATCAAGTAGCTTCTTAATACTCGCTCCATATTGTTCTTCATGGTCATTCGATGCTAGCAAATATCTAGGGTTCTTGCGATGGATGGGAAGAGTTTGCTTGTTCCGCGGCTTGGCGACGGCAGCGATTCGATGCGCCGCACCAGCTTCGGCAGCGCCGCCGCGGGCGCCCGATCAGCAGGCGGCCGCGCTGGTGTCGGCGCTGAAGGTATGTGGCAGCATAAGGGATCTGCGCAAGGGCAAGGCGATCCACGCCCAGGCGGCGGAGAGCAGGCAGCTGGGGATCCATGTCGTCAATGCGCTGGTGGACATGTACGCGAAATGTGGCAGCATGGAGGATTCCCGCCGCGTGTTCGACAGCATTCTTCACCCAAACGTGATGTCCTGGAACGTTTTGATGCTGGGCTACGTCTCCAATGGCGAGAGCGATGTGGCTCTGGATCTCTTCGAGAGGATGCAAGCCAGGCGGTCGGGCTGCAAGCCAAACTCCAGGAGCTTCATGGCCGCGTCCAAGGCTTGTAGCAGCCTCGCGGCGAAGGAAGACGCTGTTTTGGTCGATGGGAAGCTCGTCAAAGAGGCTAGTCTCGAGACTGGCAGAGGCATCCATTCTCAAGCCAAGCAGATGGGACCATCTTGCAGCGAAGACGCTTTCCTCTCGAGCTCGCTGATCGATATGTACTCCAAGTGCGGCAGCATGCTCGATGCTCGATCGGTCTTCGATGAGATGCCACGGCGAGACGCGGTCTCCTGGAACGCTTTGATACTGGGCTACGTAGAGAATGGAGAAAGCGAGGTCGCTCTCGAGTTCTTTGGGAAGATGGACTGCTCGCCAAACTCTCGGACTTTCGTTGCTGCTGCCAAGGCCTGTGCGAATCTAGCAGTGAAAGAGGAGGCCACTCAAGAAGATGGAAAGATGGTGAAGACGAGGTGCCTGGAGAAGGGGCTCGCTGTTCACGCTGGAGCTATGGAAAGCCACTGCTGTGGAGATATTTTCGTGGGGAGTAGCCTCGTGGACATGTACTCGAAGTGTGGGAGCATGGCCGACGCGCGGATGGTTTTCGAGAGCATGCCTCGTCGTGATGTCGTGCTCTGGACGAGCTTGATGCAAGGCTTTGTGGACAACGGGGAAAGCGAGCTGGCTCTCGTGTTCTTCGAAGATATGAAGCTATCCGGGTGCTGTCCAAACTCTCGAACGTATGTTGCTGCGCTTGCCGCCTGTGCGAGCTCGGCAATGCGAG